ATTCGAGGCCCGAGTACGCCGGTTATTCGACAATCGCCGACGACGCGGTCTACTCGGCTCAGCCGGACACGAGGGCCGACGTGGCGAAGACGACGATGACGACGACGATGACGATGGCCTCAACGACGACGACAACGAGTCGAGAGGACAGTGGATCGGAGGAGTCGAGCGCTGGGCTCGAGTCCCGATCGGAGCGTCGGAGGCGGAGCTGGACCTGTGGCGTCATGCGGCCCGACTGTCGGGGCCCGAGTCGCCGGACGGTATGGCCGAGCCTGGCAGACGAACAATGCTTCGGCCGCCCCGTGGAACTGGCGGTCGCGAGGCAGCACGACGACTCCGACCGAGAGGCAGTCATGGCGCCCATGCTGCCCGCCTCGGAGACAGGGTGAGAGAGATGCGCTCGACCAGTCGGTGGCATTTGCCAACTCCTGCCAGTACTGGACGTCTTTTTGGGGGCATCACGACAGACTGGAACACGTAGCGCCTGTTTATGCTCGAGTGAATTTTCGGACCGGGCGAAGACGTCCCCGACACACCGTCCCACGATTCGGAGGAATCCGTGCCGAGTTCTCGTCTGTCCGGCCTCAGCGAGGCATCATTGCTCACGGAAACCGCAACAAAATAGAGAAACCAATGAGCAAATGGTCGCCTGAAGGCCGAATTGTGCCATTCTAATTAGGCAGCATCTCACGAGTGTTCAGCTCTCTTCCATTTCGATGTTATGTATTTGGAGAAGAGATTCTAAATTCAATCCCACTAGAAGACGACATCAGATTCCTTTTGACGAGCTGTCGAATGGCTTTACAGGAACATTTTTGTTGACGGTGTTTCCGAGGAGATCTCTTTCGATTCCGGTGAAAACGAGCCAGCCTATTGTGCGTCGTATGAGTCAAGAAAACTCACCGGCTCATCCCTAAATGCTGTATCTCTATACCTTATAGAGGTTGTTTGACCTTGTTTTCGCAACATGGTCATATTGGTAGGAAGACTTAGAGGAACGCACC